TAGGGACTCCAAAAGAAGGGATGGAAAGAGAAAGGGGTCCAAGGGCTGAAAAACTACCTATTGGGTATGATGGGCACTATTTGGGTGATGGGTTCACTAGAAGCCCAAATCCCAGCATCACACAATATACCCATGTCACAGACCTGCACATGTACTCCTGAATCTGAAAAAAAAAAATGAAGAAATCTCAAGCTCAGAGATAGACATACTGGCAGTTAGAGGTGACTCAATGCTGCTCACATGGAAGAGCTGAAGCTGAGGAGTCTAAAAGCTTTTGCAGGCAGGAAAGCTTCTTGCAGACAGAGAGAAAAGAAGGGGCTGGGCCCCTTAAATTGTTTCTCCTTCACTGAGAAGTTGGGAGGGGAAGAGAGATGAACTCAAGTTACCTTCCCAGACTGTACCCTCCAGGAGAGAGGAGCAGAGGTTTTTTACATCATGGGTAAATGTAGAAACATGGGGAGAGGAAGAACAGGTACTAACGAGTAGTATAGAGATGTGAAATTTAGAATTATTCCTTAAAAGGTGAAGATAATTGTTAGCAACAAAAATAGAGAAGGAACATGTGTGCAAACAACATAGCTTCATTTTTTTGAAAAAGGTTTACAAGGTAAATATAGTCACTGAAGTCCTTATATATACATTGGTCTTTTTTTTTTCTATCTCTAGTCCCTTGATGACCAACTCTTTCAATCACTTTGCCCTTCTACTTCTTTCAGTGATCAAAGCTTTTTTGTCATGGTCATAGGCTCTAAACTGCCATAGGTTATATTTGATGAGCAGGGAGCAGGGCAGAGAAGGAGGCAGGAAAAGTAAAACCTGACAGTGGGATGTTTGCACAAGCGCTGGAAATAAGCAAGGGTGGTTTGCAAGAGGCAACTAAGAGATGAGTAGCTGCTGTAGTGAATGGAAAAGAGAGTGGCAGACTGTGGATAAAGCCATAGGTATATGTTATGTACTTAAGTTCTTTATTCTTTTAAAATAAATAACTAACCCAAATATAAGTGTGTTGTTATTAACACAAGGCCAGCCCATAAGATAGTAGAGAGAATAAGCTGCTGTAACAAATTCACACAAAAACACGTGGTCTGCTATGCATGATTATGTTCCTCCACATCCAGATGTTAAAACTGAATGCCCAATGTGATAGTATTGAGAGGTGGGCCCTGTTGGAGGTGACTAAATCAGGAGGGTGGATTTCTCATGAATAGAGTTTGTGTCCTTATAAAAGAGACCCAGGGGAACTTGTTGTCCCCTGCCACCATGTGAGGTGAGGACACAGCTAGAAGTCACTGTATATAGGAAGCAAGCCCACACCAGACAGTGCTGGCGCCTTGATCTTAGTAGACCTCCTGCCTCCAGAACTGTGAGAAATAAATATGGATTGTTAATAAGTTACCCATTTTATGGTGTTTTGTTATGGCAGTGAGAATGAACTAAGACAACCTCAAACAAGATAAAAGTTGCTTTCTTTGTCAACAGGGCAGAACTTGGTGGGCAGGGTAGGTTGGTGGCTCTGTCCAAGGTTCTAGCTTTCTTGAATCTTGGTACTACTCCACTCTTGGTGTGTGTTCCTGTCCATGTGAGTAGTCAAAGCTACTCACACCATTTTCTTTCCGCTACTCACACCATTTTCTTTCCAGCTCACAGGAGGGATGCAAGAGAGATGTGGAAGGCGAGCGGCTTCTTTTGAAGAATATGACCAGGGAAGTTGAACATGTCACTGCTGCTCACATCTCATTGATCAGAATCTAGTCACATGGCCATAGTTAACTATGATGGGGCTTAAAATTATATTCTCCATCTGAGTACCCATGTGCCTTTCCAAAACTGTAGAGGGGGTGGGGTTCAATACTAAAAGGAAGAGTGCAATAGAAGAGCAAAAATTGGAAGCAAATAGTAAAAGTATGCTGCAATAGTTTTACAGATTTTTGCTGACCAATTTCATGGAAGTTCACATGTCCTACATTAAAATAAAATGCAAATGTGATTGTGTCATGAAATTCTGGTCATTATACTTACTTTTAGAATTGTTTACTATAATATGCCGTAGGTAAGTTTGATTTTTTAAATGAACTTGTTTGTGAGAACTGGGTTTATTTTTAGCCTTATGAAAACAGTCTTACAGATTTTTTCTCCCATATACTATGAATTTTACTATCAATTCTTACAGTCCCAGATTTTTAAATCCTATTTCTACTTACATGCATTTCAAAACTTGCATTTTCCCCCATAGTTTTCATTTTTGTCATCTAATATTGATTTGAATGTAGCATGGCAAAGGGTAAGCAAACATTCTGATATCTTCCAAAACAAACCTTAACTAATTGTCTGGAATTCAGGTCCGCATCATATGTATCTTTGAATCATCCCTGATCTGGAGGCCCCAGAAACGTGGGTTAACTCTCGGACCACCCTTGGTTTTTATTGTATAACTGCAAATCTGGTTCAAGTTCATCACTTAGTATCCAACATGGAGTCTTGTACAGTTATGTTCACGGAGCGGATGCTTAATAAATACTGGTTGAATGACTGAATTGAGCTACTCAGAAAACATCAAAAATTGAGGGTCTTTGGACCAAAAGTAACCTGAATTGGTGTTAGTCATCTTTTCCAGACAAAAACAATTGCTTTTTTTGGGGGGGGTGGTTAATGATGTGAATAGTAGTCTATGTAACCTAAGTAAATAATATATCAATAAATACAGAAAAGAAGTGTAGAAAGAGCAAAATGTTATACATCATAAGAAAGTTTCTCATTCCTTTAAATAGTGTAAAATATGAGAAGCAGCTAACACATTGCTTGGCATAATAGAGTCTCAATAAATAGTAGTCACAGTTAATTGTGTTTTATGTTGTTCCTTAGGTCGCAAGTCAAAGAAGTTTTCCAGCAACACGTAGCAAAGAAAATGCTAGTTTTCTGGCAGTTATTCTTTATTGCAATAGGGAACAAATTCACTGTCACAATGCAGAGAAGAAAGTCAAATTCTGATATTCAAGAAGAGTTGGTTTGAGACATACTGTCTTTATACACACTACCATTTAAGAAGATCCAATAATTATAGAACATTTCTGCAGATTTTACTCTACTTGGGAAATACTCCAGGGAATTCAGAAAGTTTTAACATAGTGTCAGAGCCTGTGAGTTTGGAAGGCCATATTTATATTTCAACTGTTTCTCTGGCATTTGCCCAGTGATAATATATTGGCATATTCTGGAACCCCCTAGGGGACACCAACATGTTATAGAAGCAGCTTATGGTATCTGTCTCTGATTGATATCAAAAATTATTTTCTAATTATTTGGCAATGCTCTTCCATTTTTCCTCTTTCAAAAAAGAATTCCACTTCATTTTTTTTTTTTCAGTCTGTTTCTTCTTAGTAAGTTATTGACATTAAATTCAGGTACTTTTAGTCTTTATTTCTTTACCTCACAAACCTTTTTAGACCATAGTTAAACCTTAGTAATTTTTAAAAGCTGTATGATATGGTCCTTTTGACACATCAAGGCCATCACGATATAGCTTTCCAAGGTCTTAACCTTAATAGGATTTACTGGTTTTAAATTCTTCTATCTTACCTAGAATTGACTGATGTTTCCCAGAAGGTCAGGATATCAATGCTAATTTTAGCATCCTAACTAATAGAAAACTCTAGGAGTGGTGAAGATGATTATTCCATTTTTGTTTTATGACAACTGATAATCAAGGAGTTAGTTGATTTTCTTTAAAATCAACTTTTAAAATCAAATCAGTCTTTTCCATCAAGCTTCAACTATATAAATCTACATCTAAGTTTACATACCATGTAGTAGAGGCAGTAGTGTTAATTTTTTGAAATTATGAAGAAACTTCTAAATATATATGTTTGAATTAGAGTTAAAATTTTTGTGTCAATTTACCTATAAAAATAGGAATAAGCTGGCATAAGTTTAATTCATGTACCCACAGAGAATGGGAGTGGTCAATTTTACTTCTCTAAAATCCTTATCTCAAAAATATGATGAAATGCTAATTTTTAAGTTAATTTTGAGCAGCGGGTATACTGGAGTTTGTTATATTACTTTTGTAATTGTTTGTATTACTTTGCACATTGTATTTTCCTCCAAGTAGAATAAAATAAAATAACACTTTGGTCCAAAATCCTTTGATTTTTCTGGGCAAGTAGGAAGCTGGGTTATATCTTGAGGAAAACAGAAAATTTGCCTGTTTTGTTAGGTTGGGTTAGTGTAGGTGAGATGTACAGATAAGAAGTAAATGAGGGTGAATTTAATATTAGCTCAATTAATGAGTGCAGAAACATGCAAAGAATTAGGGCGTGATTTAAGCAGGGACTTTCTGCACAATTATTTAAAGGTAATGTGTTGTCTCTCTATAAAAGGCATACATTTTCTCATGTATATATGACCCTCCCCACAAAAGTACAGTTTGCCACCTATATTTTAGTGGTTGTCCTTTTTAAGAGGCTGTTTCTGGTAATATCTGTTATATATCTAGTTTATATTTTTCAAACAGCCCCTTAAGTAGGAGTCCAATAATAAGAATTAAAGGAACTTGAGTTTTCCTTAATGTTTTAGATGCATTCTATGCTACTTTTGAAAATGTGAAGGTGGAACTAATTCTGGCTGGGTGGAGAAGTATTAAACCCCTGTTTCTCTTTATTTCCCTCCCTCCTCACCTCCAACCTCCCAACATGCATTTTCTAAGGTTTACTCATTGTAATTTTTAATTTTTACTTTTCAAAATTCACTTTTAACACAAGGTTGTTAGATTGGCTCCAAGAGCAAACAGCAGGCCGGCTGGTGCTTGTCGGAGGAGGGAGAGGGTCGCGCATTGGGTCTGGGTTTAGGGCTGGGGCTGGCTGGGGCTGGAGCTGGCGTGTGGGGAGACTTCAGGAGGGGCCCTAGCAGAGAGACTGCAGTGACACTGCCCTCCCTGGGCTGGTTGAAGCATCTCACTGGTGACGGGTCTGAAAGCACGTGGCTACGTCATGGAAAGCCAGTCTTTTCAATGCAAACTTCAACTCCTCCTCCTCCTCCCTCTAATGCCTGTAACTCACATCCGAGGCTGGGCGAGGAATCCGGAGGGGAGATTTTCCTCATGCTCACGGTTGTTGGAAACTGGAAGAGTGAGAGGAAGGAGGAAGGGGATTTGTGGCGCTCTCTACCTACTACAAGACTGACAAGGGGAGGGGGCACCTAAATTTGCATCTTTTCTTCATGGTGATTGAGAACTGCAGGTTCAAACCGATCCCACTGAGCACTGGCGATTGATTATAAAAAAAATCGACACTGGGAGAAGGGAGGCTCTGTCTTCGGCTGTCAGACTCAATCTCGGAGGTGGTATTGGTGTGTGAGTGTGTGTGGTGGGTTTTTTTTTTTTTTTTCTTTTTTTTTCTTTTTTCTTTCTTTCTTTCCTTTTTTTTTTTTTTTCCTTCTCTCCTAGGGGCTACACAATGGCAGTCTTCTCTCAGTAAGATGAATCCTGCTTTGCCTTCTGCAGATCCACCCATCCTCATAGCGATCAAGTAAAAAGGCTATGGTTTTCTCTTTGGGGATCTTTTGTGCATTACTGTTCTCCCTGATTAGTTTTGATCTCAGTTGGGATCTCTTTGCTTTTTTGTTTGGTTTCATGCTGAAAAAGGATTTTTTCTCCGACCCTTTGGTAATAATCCGGTGGTGATCGAGGGGGTATAAATCATTCACCCTGGCCGAAAAAAAACAATCACTGAGAAGTCTCAAAGAAATATACCACGTGAGGGGAAAAAACTGGGAGAAGATCCGGAATATTATCGTTTTTCCTATGGTAAAACCGGTGCCCCTCTTCAGGAGAACTGATTTCAAATTATTATTATGCAACCACAAGGATCTCTTCTTTCTCAGGGTGTCTAAGCTGCTGGATTGCTTTTCGCCCAAATCAATGTGGTTTCTTTGGAACATTTTCAGCAAAGGAACGCATATGCTGCAGTGTCTTTGTGGCAAGAGTCTTAAGAAAAACAAGAACCCAACTGGTAAGCAAAACATGCATCATGTTATGTTTTTCCTCATAATAACCTGTCTGTTGCTCATCGAGCTAGATCTGCAGTTCTGCTATGCAGGAAGGCAGGGGAAACAACAAGGAACCAGGACAGTGTTGCATATAGAGTTGTTGCATGAATAAACAAGTAACAGCTGGATCGGCGTCTACGAACCCCAAAACCATTATCGGCATCCCTTGGCTGTGACACAATCCATCACTAGGAGGGAGGAGGAAACTTTTTTTTTTTTTTTTTAAATGTATTTGGTTGCCTATGTTTGGTGGAATAGTGAAGGGCTCTGGCTTAAGGTTGTACCCCAGGCAGCTGAAGCTTCGGTAGTTGCCAGGAAAAAGAACCCCAAGCTCCCCTGACTTCTGCAGCAGGTTCGGGGGACGTAGCTGGGTTCCGAGAACCTGCTCTAGACTTTCTGATTAGCTTGCACAATATTCGCCACCACGATCACCTTTACCAAAGTACAAGAGGCCCCCTCCCTCGCGGCCCCGCTCCTCCGTCAGCCCCCGCGCCCTCCCCCGTCCAGCTCCCGGCGCCCGAGTATTAACTCATTCCCCCGTCTGCCTCTGACACATCCTGCCACTGGGAATACTTGACCAAGGCTTGCGCCTGGAGGGAACTCCAGGCTGAGAAGACAAGCCCAGCCCCTCTAATATTTGTAATTTAATTCCCCCCCTTCAGAAAGCGGTGTCAAAGCCCTGTGTTGGGATCCCACGGGGCAGGGGGTGGGGATGAGCCAGGCCGTGGGTTCCTGCTTTTAAGCCTACTGGTGATCATGCGCCCCGATTCCAACGGGCTCCAACAGGGGAACTTGCAGTACATTACATAAGAAATGCAAATGCATCTGATTTGGGGAGTCGGATCCCAGGGGTTCCCGTCCCCGCGTCTCAGTCTGAGGCGATTGGGGGCGGCCGCGGAGCTGTGGGCGAACCACCCAGGGGGGGCCGGCCGGAGGGCTGCATGGTGGTGGTGGCGGCGCTGGCGAGGAGGCTGGGCGCAGCCTTTCCGGGAACCGCTCACGCTCGCAGCTGGGAGTGTGTGGCGTCCCCTGGCTCCATTCACGGTGGGGAGGGACCTGGGACCGGCTGTTTGTGTCTGGGGTTGTGTTTGAAGCGGGGAGCAGGGAGATCGCCCGTCCCGCAGTGGCGGCCCGGGCCCTGGAAGCTCCTGACACTGGCACTGCGGTGCAGTGGATCATGGCTCTCCACGGCCTCCCTGACACCCTGGGCTCTGCTGGGGCCGCACTGGCACCCAGAGCCCCGGCGAGTGGGGCAGCAAGTGGCTGGTGCTCTCCAGTCTCCGAACCTTGCCAATGCAATGTAGCTGGGGTGGCGCGCTCCGAGGGGAGGGGGCTGCCGCCTGTGGGTGCAGCGGGAGGCAGAGGAGGAGGAGGTGTGGGTGGGCGGGGACGGAGGCGGTGGGTGTGGAGGCTGAGACAGCTTGCGGCCACCATTCCTGCAGCAAAGGAGAAACTACGAGTTGTTACACAGTTCAAAAGGGCAGAGGCTTCTGTGCTGGGGTCGAGAAGGTTGCCCCCACTTGGTACTTTGGGGTGGCAATTGAGGCTCTGGTAGTAGCCTCTGGATGCTCCTTGGACTCAGTGCTGCAGTGAAGCTCTGGGCTCTGCCCTGAGTCCTCCTCCCTGTGTTCTAGTTCTTACACCCTTTCTATTCACCCCCTCTGTTTCCTCCTCCTCCGTCCTTTTACCCTTCTTTCTTCTTAACTCCTCAGCTTTTAGCAACTCTGAAACGACACACCAACCTGAGAATTGCCCAAGGGGAAAACAGTGTTGTCATCTTTTATGTCTAATTCAGCTATGAAGTGTACCCCAAGATGTACTCCAAACCCCCCACATCAAACCTAAAACTTGCTGATGCTTGCTTCATACAAAACCAACTTACATCTGCAACACTAATCTCACAGTCTAATACGAAGCCCCCTTTTGCAAGACTTCTCAAAGTGAGACGGACCAAGGGCTGCAGTGGGAAGGGGAGGGGTGTGACTGCTTTATACTGTAAAAAACAGTGGTCTTTTGAATCCTTCTTGTGTCCTTCTGTGAAAAGATTTAACGCTCTTCTGAGAAAGGAATACTGTAAAAACATTTTTTTATTTAGATGTGACCGTTTGTCTTAGGGACCTTGAAGTCAGTCCTTCCATAGAACTGGAGAGTGGGAAATAATTTAGCACAGAACAGTAAGTTTCTTTGTAGGCCTTTATAATTTTTTTTGTATACAATTTTACCAGAAACACTAAATTTCTCCCTATACACAATTCACAATCTTTTTATTACACTTCCTCCATCCCACCCACTTTCATCTCTCTGGAATAGTTTTTCCCCCCTTCCAAGGCATTTTTGGAAACTGTCGAACAAATGACTATTTTTAGAGCAATGTATTTTGCACCTTATGAATGCTAAAGTATTTTGGTATGAATTGATGGGTTAACACAAAGTGTATCTAAGAACATTACCAACTATTCTAACAGGATAATTTAGTCTTAGATATCCAGGGATATGAGTTCCAACCTGGGAGTTAGAGCATTTAGTATATATATATATAATATATATATAATATATATATAATATATATATAATATATATATAATATATATATATTTAAATGGGACATTAATGTGCCACATTATTTATCTTACCTTCTAAAAGTTTTAGTCTGTTAAGCTTGAATCAAACCCATGCCAAGCCATTCCCTTTCAGTATTATACTTGGTGAGTTCCATTCTCCTGCTATTAACATGAAGCCTAAAATCTTTTGCAGGTTTTTGATCCCAAAATAGCAGTAGAACTAAAAAGTTAATTGGGTAATTAAAATGAAACAAACACTAAAATTCTTTTAACTGTTACAGCCGAAAGAAACAGATTGACTACTACCTATTATGTTATGTTAAATTTAAAAAGAGGACAATTAACTGGTTTCAAACTAAGAAACTTGGGAGAATACTGCCAAATACCAGTGAATTTGGTATAAAGCACCTATTATTATTTCAGAGATAAATATTAGGTTAATTTTGCTTCCTACGTCTTTGGAAGTTATGAAATAATTTACTGATTATTTCCAATTCTTTACACTGTCAACAAGTGTAGGTAGTTTGGTCAAGGGTTCGTGGAATTTCAGAGCACTGCTATATAATCTAGTTGGTGTGAAAATAAGCAGATAATAGAGTTATGAATTTAAGGACAAAGTTATTCATCTACCCAAAAGATATTAATTAGCTCATTATTAATACTTAAATAAGAGGCATTCATTGAATAGTGTTTTGGGCTTATTTTATGTAAAATTTAACTGGAAGAGAACATGCAAAATGTGTTTGCACAATACATGCTTTTTAAAATAAATTCCAATAGCTTAAAAGTCCTGGATATAAAGTAAATTTGCTATCTTCATAAAAACACCCAGTCTAACAACTATTATCAGAGAACACACACACACACACACACACACACACACACACACACTTAAATGTCCTACTTTCTTAGCAGAGCAACAGCTATGCATTTAGAATAAATGTTACCTGCTTCAGCTTTCACTGTATGAGTCATGCAAGGTGACTGTATTTTAGGCAAATCATTAAATAGGGAATACTAAGTCCAAGGCATTTATTTTGCCTGAAGGAGGCTTCATAGCTTTCTTTAAACCAGTATGATAGTTTGGATTGACCAATGTATATAATAGGCCCATTCTGGAAATAATCTAGGTCACTGCACTTTAAGCCAAGGGTACTAAGGAAAGAAGTGTGGTTGAAAAAAGAAAATCCACAATAAAGATAAATACTAAGGTCATGTCATTGCTGTCTCTTCAGACACATAATGTAAAACAAGCAAAGGAAGCCACAGACCCTCACATAGATACAGCCACTCAACCATACACAGGATATACCCAAACTTCCATGGCTTGGTAGGATTTTAGAAAACACAGATTTTAAGATAAATCATAATCTAAGAGGATTTTATTGAGTACAAATGTCAGTGCCAAGTGTTAGTACGAAGCAGATGCCCTAGACCTAGTTCTGCACAGCACACTGAGAACATTCCATCAATTCTCTTTTTCTGAACTCAGTCTCCCGCTCTGTCATATAACTTCGACATGGAACACGCAGGGCTTGGTGGGACCAATGATTACGTCCTATTTCCTACTTGTCTGGCTGCCTTTCAGCTCTGCTTTTGCCTTTCACTAAGCTGTTTTAGGTGCCAAAACACCTGGTATGCCACTGTTACTCATTTAAATAGACGTTATTTTTAAAAGCTACTTGCTTTACATCTAGGGCTGTCATGGTGTTTGGAAGTGAGAAAATACGAAGAAAGGGAAGAAGAGTGAGCACTTTTTACTCCTCCTCCTTCTCAGTCTACCGACTCATTCTAGGTTCCAATAGAACCGGGTGAGCCACAAATGGGCCACAACCTCTGCATGTCTAAACACTGAGTATATTTCAAATGAAAACATCAAATTCAGACTGCGTGGCTGGAACACCAAACAGATGTAAGTTTCTTCTAACACGCTTGGCTTTAGAGTGGGATTCAATGTAGTATGAGTTGGCCTTGGACTCCATCCAGGAAGCTTCAGTTACTGAGGTAACAAAATGGGTTTTGTAGAGCAGTGCCACTCCATGAACCAAAGGATGGCATTTTAGGTAGGCTCCCGAGTACTGCCTTGTTGGGAGAGTAGATTTTTCTTTTTTGAAATGTATATCCCAGTTAATAAGTGTAAAATTCAATGCATGATAATCTAAACTTAGTTTTACCAATGAAGATGACTTTGGCTGTACAACTTGTTCTAATTGTAGACAGCATCCATAACTGAGAAAATTTGTTCAAATGATGCATTGCTTTCTGAAGGTGCTAAAGCTAATTCTATACTATACTTCACATTTCCTACAATGAACCATTCCTTTAAAATGTTTGAACCCAGTCTTCCATGTTTTAGCAACACAAACATTGGAGACTTTTGTGAAGTGTTTTTATACATATGG